CAGAACTGCAAGTAGGGCCTGGGCTCCTGCCCTGGAGGGACAAGCCCATGTGAGCAGCGTGGGGAGAATCTGTCAGGGCTCTCAGAAGGACCTGGAGCAGCGTCGTGCCTGAAGCTCAGTGCGAAGTCTGAAATATGCAACAGAAGAAATATATCTCTATCTCTCTAAGCTGAGCCTCTGTGTTTTTCCTCCTGGTGACAGGGAGCCTCTCTAGCGGGCTCTGTTGGGCCTTCTTTAGAAGTCATGGCAGGTACTTTGGCAGCCGTGAGAAGGTGACGGTCTTGGTCCTGCAGAGTGGGGATGGTTTACAATCCGTGCAAGAGGCAGAGGGGACACAGTCTACCTAATCCCGCTCCCTCTCTCTGACAGGTAAACAGAGACTTGCTCATTTCCACCCAGTGGGCCACTGGGGGGGCCAGGAAGTGAGTTCAGTCCTTGAGCGCCCTGACCCACTATTTCCATCCTGCCAGGCCACAGCAGCTGCTGCCTGCCTTTTTGCCATCACCAGGGCCCATCGCAGAAGCCTGCTCATTCCCTTCTTACCCAGCCCTGACTGTTGGAGGCAACCCCAGCCACATCCCACTGGCCACCCCTGGAACTTGTTCCTTGAGTGGCACATGCCTCAGTGGCCTGGGTCCTGGGCCACTGCCCTGGTGCGCCATACTGGAAAGATTCACTCAGCCCCTCCTTTTCTCAAGCCCTACTGCCTACGCCATGTGAGCCTGGCTCTCTAACAGCCCTGTGTGCCCACTGAATGTGGAGCCCTGGGAAGGTTCCCCAGGCCTCTAACATCACCCTCTCTGCCAGTCCTGCTGGTCTAGTCCACTCAGCAGGGGGTACAAAGGGACTCCTCAGGTTGCCACCCGGCCAGTGTTCCCACTTACCAGCAGGGGGCACCACTAACCACCAAACTATGGCACAGGGGGTGCCACTGCTGACCTGTGTCCACTATCAGATTTAATCCTCTAATCTCTGCAGGCCCTGAGGCAGACACGCCTGTTATCATTTACCATAGCAGGAAGCCGAGGCTAGGTGCTGTGAAACAAGCCCAAGGTCATGGCAACAAGGTGGTAGCAGTAAGCACCAGGCCTCTCAGTCACTGCAATCCTCCCCACAGCGACCACCCCCGGGAAATAGTGTTTGGTACCAGGACGAAGATAATTCCTTTTCTGGATCCTATTTTGAAATTAACTCTGGTTCTTTAGATATTTTTTTTCATCATCTCTTAGATCTAGAAGAAATGTCAGTAACGGTGTCCGGAGATTAGCACAAGCAGTAAGTATCAGGGCAGGGTTTGCGGCAAAGGACACCCCAGCAGGCAGGGGGAGGGAGAGTGCTGTGTGCTGGAGAGGCTGGCAGCTCACTGGTCAGTCTTAGTGGAACTGGTTTTGAACTTAGGGGGACATTGGCTCAGTTTCAACCCTGTCCCCTGCCTGATCACACCTGGGCCTAGTTACTGGTTGGCCACACACTGCCCAGTGGGAAGGAACCCAGGCTGAGGGTTCTGAGCTCACTGGTGTGAGGTGCAGCCCAGCACTGGCTTGGGCTCAAAGGTCCCAGAGGTTGTCTAATTTATAGAGCCCACCCCACCCCACTGCTCTGGGGGAACTATCTTGGCCCCAGAGTTGACAGCACCGTGAGGCAGCCATTAGCTGCTCCTGGGCTCCTGACACGTTCAGAGGGCAGGAGGGGGGGCGCAGGCGCGGCTCTACCAACTGCTCTCCTGTCCAGCTTGTAAGGTGAACATGAGTGCAGCTTTTCTGCCTGGCCACCTTGTTCTTCAACACCCACCTCCCCATTTTTCAGCCGGGAAGCTCAGCCTGGAGGTTTGGGGTTCTTGAGCCTTCTTTGAAATCCTCCAGGGGTGGGGAACTGGCCTGGCCTTCAGAGCCCAATTACTTTGTGGTGGGGGGGGTGCCTGGGCAGGGAGTCCTTTTTTTTTTTTAATGGCCCTCATGCCCGGTTTCCAGGGCAGCTTGACACCTCAGTTCCATTAGAGGTGGGAGTCCAGGTCTGGGTAGGTGAGATGGGCTGGGGCATGCCGGGTCCAGGCCGAACCCGACTGTGCCCACCCCAGGGTGTTTGGGGGGGGCAGTTTCATCACTGGTGTTCACCGTGGCCATCCTGCTGCTGCTGCACCAGCACCAGCCCCAAGGCTGCCAGGACCTCTACTCCTGCCACCTGTGCCAGAGCCCCAGCCAATTAAAGCATCTCTCCCAACAGCCCTTCCCCTCATGTGCTCTCACTTCATCCCAGCAAAAGGGAACCCGAGTGCTGGCCAAGCAGAAGCAGCTATCTAGCGTGAAGGGGCCTTGGGAGTCTGCTCTGTGGACGCAGCCTGGGTGTGCTTGGGGCCAGGACAGCACGTGCAAAGGGCCAATAACATCCTGGCCAGCCTCAGCCCTGGCCACTGCTAACAGGACCCAGTGCTGGGAGCTACTCAGTGAAGATGGTGGTCTTTTCCCAGTTCTCCAAGCATCTGGAGGCCCACCCTCTCCCCAGTTCCCCGGGGAAGCCCAAAGCCCTGGCAGTTGGGGGGTGAAGGCCATAAGCAGCAACCACAGCACTGTCAGTCTCCTCCCCGGGGACAGGGTGCCATGTGGGATCCTGGGCACAGAAGGCATAACACATCTCTGACCTCAGCCTCTCCAGGCTCTGCCGCCCCATCTCTGGGGCCTGGACAGCATAAAGAGAGGACAGGAGGTTTTCCCTGACTTCCCAGGACATCAGAGCTGGCTGCCAGACTTGAGAAATGAGCCAGTGGCCAAAAGGAGGGGAAGCTCTTCATACCTGAGCACATTTCAGAAGTGTGGAGGGTCTGAGCTTTGTGCCCTGGGCTTGGAGGAGAAAACTAGAGGGCTGGGCAGAGGGTTGTGGGCAACTGAAAAGGGATGGAGTCTTTTGTCAGGTTCCCTGAACCTCATCCTGAGCTTCACTTTGAGTCCTCATCCCTCAGGAACTCCCCCGCCCCACCCCGCCAGGATTGCCCACTCCCTGTCAGCACCAGGGGATGCCCAGCTGAGGCCCAGGCAGCAGAGAGGTTAATGGTGTCCAGGAAGGACCACCAGTGGGGAGAGGAGCAGCAGAAGGGCAGCCCAAAGGCGGGGAGTACATGTATGGGTGGCTGGGCCCCAGGGAATCGCTAATGCCTCCAGCCACCACCAAGCTGAGGAGGCTCTGAGGCCACAGCGGGGACCACCTGGGCTCTGCCCACCCATCCAAGGACAGTCACCAGTCCTGGCCCGGGAAGCACCACCCTGCAGTGGGGAGTAACCTCCTCCAGCCTGCCCCTTCCTGATTCTGCAGGGCACAGGAGGCCACAGCACTGACCCTGTGAGACACCCCCACCCACCAACCAGCTTGGGACACGAGACCCTGTGAGAAGCTCACCAAGGTGAACCTCGACAAGCCCAGTACCTCTACCAAGGAGGTGGGGCCTGGGGTCATAGCCCCAGTTAACAAGGTGAGGGGTTCACAGCTGACTCCTGGAATGGGAAGCTTCTCTGCCCTGGTCTCTGAGCTCCTGCCCTCAGGCGAGGAGTCCATGGAGGAAGCCACTGGATCCTACACGACCCTCCTTGGGGCTGTGCTGACACCACCTACCTCCAGCCCCAACCTCGGAGCCAGCTGACATTTTCTTCCTCGCTCTTCTACCTGAAGTCAAGCCTCAGGTTGGGTGGCGATGAAGGCCTGATGCCAGCCCACTCTAGGCTTCCACCGAGTATTCCTGAACCCAGACTCTTTGCTGCTGCTTATGATTTGAGATAAACCAGGGGAATATAAACTTGGTCTTTCCGGGAGAGGAGGGAGGGGATAAAAAAACAAAAAACAAAAAAACTACCCACCCCCCCCCACCACCCCACCCCCGAGAAGCGGCTTCCTGCCTGCTAGGTTGGGGGTATGCACAGTGACAGAGGCAGCTCTGGCAGGAGGCTCCTAAAGTCCTGGGAGCTTCTCCTGCTAGCACCTCCCTCTCCCCAGCTCCCAGAGCAGCCTCCCCCACACCCCATCACGCCCCGCCAGGGCCGGGCCGCCTCTGTCCACCTTCGCCACGGCCTCCGCGTCTCCCCGGCTCCGGCTTCGGCGGCTGCTTCCCGCCACCCCGCGCCCTGCACCCCGCCCGCCGCCCGCCCAGCCCCCGCGCCTCGGGGTCCCAGGCCCGCGCTGGGGGCGTCGGGGCGCCGCGTTGAGGCTGCCGCCCCCTGCCGGCCGGCCGCGAGGCGCGCGTCCCGAGGGCTGGGGCGCGGCCGCCCCCTCGGAATCCGGCTGCTCCCGCGCCGCGGCCCGCGCGGGTCTTTCCAGGAGCCCAACCCGCCGCGCCCGCGCCCCGCGCGTCCCGACGCCGCCCCGCCGCGGACCCCGGAGCAGCCCCAGGTCCCCGGGTGCCCCCTGTCCCCTGTCGTCGAGTGGGGGTCCCGACGCCCCCGCCCCGGCTCTCAGGGGAGCTCAGGGGACCGGGAGGGGCCGCGCCCCGCTCCCGACCCTCCTTCCCGGGCCTGGAGATCTCGGGGCTCTTGGAAACCAGCCGCGCGTCTCCTCCTGGAGCCAAATAAAAGCAGTGGGTGACGTCCCCAACAGCCCCCTCACACTCCCCTCCAGGGGTCGGCTTCCCTTCCCGAGCCTCTGCCCGCAGAGGTCGGGGGAGAAGGGACTCCCCGCCCCCCTGTTCCCCGCACGTCGGGGCGCAGCTCGCCCCCCCTCGGGCCAGGAATGACTGGAGGTGGGGAGCTGCGGGCTGGGAGGCAGAGCAAGGCTGTCCTAACAGACCACACATTTCCCCCCCCCCCAGTTAATAGATTCTACCTCCCAATTCCCAAACCCAACCAAATCCCCTCCCTGCACCCACCCCTCAGGCTCGGGCTCCGGGTTAGCTGGTTTTGGAGCGCAAAGCTCCGCCTCCCTCCTGAGGCGGGGCCCTGCAGGTGTAGGGACCTGGAAGAGGCCCCCACCTCTCCCCTCCTTCCCCCACTACGCGGAAGCTCAGTGACCCCCATGCCAGGATGTCTGACTCCGGGGTGCCCGGCCTCCGGCCCACCTTGCTGCTCGGCCTGCTGGCCGGCCTCCAACAGGTGAGCTTTGGGTTCGCCCTTCGGGATCTGCTCTCCCCGGTCAGGAACCCGCTTCTGGAGCCCGGTCACTACCTGTCCTTGTCAGGATTCCCCCCCACCACGCGCTGTTAGCAGCCTCCTTTCTCTTCTTGCTACGGAGGGGGGACAGGGGGGGTGGCCCTGACTACCCAGGCTGCTTGCTGCAGGGACTGGGGTGGGCTCCGCCCAGCGCCCCACCATCTAACACCCAGCACCTCTCTGGAGTGGGGACTTTGACCCCACAGGAGCCTTGGCTCTTCCTTCTGCGCAGTCAGAAAGCTGGGAAAGCCAGCGGTGGGGGGCTGAGGTCTGCACACCTGGCCAGCCTTTCTCCCCAGCTCTGCTCCTCCAGGGCTGGGTGACCTTGGGGAAGTCCCAGGCCTCTGGGGCTGTGTTTTTCTGCTTGAGCCCTGGGGTAGGGGAGGCTCTCCTGCCCTCCTGGGACTGGAGATAGGAGTCCAGCCTGGGGTAGGATTTGACCCAGCTGCCTGACCCCAGGCCGCAGTGTCCTCTGAAGTCTTGATTCTGGCCAGAGGAACCCCTTGCTCCCACATAAACCCTAAAAGCCCTGGGGGAGGTGTGACCAGTCCAGGGATGGGAGCTTGTCCTGGAAGCACCTGATGCACCTTCTACACCTCATGCAGGTGTAGACGCATCTTTCAGTTTGGGCTGAAGAATCCTGGGGAAGTGCCAGGCTGCTCCCCGGAACAGGGCAGGTTCCCACCACCAGACCTTCTCAGAAAGCTCTGCCCAGGAGGCGCTGGTCCTGCCAGGCCTGTCCGGGTCAGCTGGCGCCGGCACTCACTAGGCCGAACATCCTCTTCTTATTCTGTTATAGAGCAACCCCGATATTAAACGGGTTCCTGGCTGTGGGTCCTCACCCGCGCGCTTTAAAGGGACTTATGAATACTCTACTACAGACACACGCAAAAGGTTAATAAAAAGTTTATTTACAAGAGGAAAGGAAATAAGGAAAATGTACAACTCAGGGAGAAAATAGGGAAATAAAGTCTTTAATGCGTCCTACCCGATCCGCCAACCTGGAAACCCAAAGTCACTCTCAGAGCTGGCCGGACGGACGCTGCGAGCTGGCGGAGAGCCAAAATGGGGGACCCCCAAAGCCCACGTGTCTGCCTTTTGTATCCACCTGGCTGCTTAACCCCACCCTCAGGTCCCAGCCACCTTCCCTTTGGTGGGGATGGGATTTGGAGTTCCCAGTGTCTTTGACTTTGGCCTGGGGTGGGGGTGGAGTCCACAAAGCCTGTATGGAATTAGCTTTGGGACATCCTTTTCCCCCTAACAATTCCTCCAACAACTGCAGGGCCAGGTGCTGTTAATGTTCCCGAATGAGTGTAAATAAACCGGGTTCCCAAGACCAAGATCCCTGACACTGGATAGAAAGCAGGCTGTGGACAGCCTCCGAGAAGACCACCCCCTTAGAGTGGAGGGAGAGTATCTGGAGAAGCTCCCCCCCACCCCACTGCCCCAAACTGGAACTCAGCACCCATTTATTAAACCTGCCAGGAGAGGGAGGCGCGTCTGGTATCTGAGGGTCAGGGCCTGACTTCTGCGTCCTCCCCAAACCCCTTGGTTTGTCCCAGCTCTGCAGTCGCCCTCTTGGCTCCGGTCCTCCCCTCTGTGGGCTTCTGCAGGGGCTCCCCCCTCCGGTCACTCCTGGCTGGGAAGGACATTCCCACGGAGCCGAGCACAGCAGAGCGTTCTCTTGTTGGCTGCACGGGCGTCCCTGGCTGTATGCTGCTGTCATCCTTGTGGTTGTAAAGACAGAAAGTCACAGTGGCTTTGCCCAAGTGACTACCTATCCTTGAGCCCTGCTTGCTTGCACTGGAGGCTGGGAGGGGCGAGGTGTGTGTGACAGATAACCCCCCTTCATCACCCCCACCCCCCCAAACTGTACTCCCCCCACCAGGTGGAGTAGCCTGGGGGAGATGAAGCCAGGTGATCAGTGAATGGGCAGCTTTGTTGGGAGACCCTGTTCCTGGGGGAGACCTCTAACCTCTGCCTCTTTCCTTCCCCAGGCTGCAGCCCAATGTGGGATCATCTCGTAAGTCTGGGGTGTGGGCTGTACCTACCAGTCTGGGAGAGACACCCTCGAGCCTGCCCTACCTGCCTTCAGGGGATGGGGGTAGGGAGCAGCTCATCAGTCATTCACACACACTCCCCTTCCAGCCCACTGGGCCCCCCCCACCCCCCTCCAGGGGACTCTCCCCTCCTTCCACCAGCCAGCCAGCCTGCAGGCTGCTGGAATCAAAGCCCAGCCAGACCTCAGTGCAGTCTCAGGCCATCTCCCCTCTGAGGGACCCCGAGTGGGACAAACACCTTCAGTAGAAATGCCAAGAAGCGTGCGGGCTGAGGCTGCTGGGCAACCAGTGAGTCCTGGAAGCTCTGGAACACCCTCTCCTCCCACTTCCCCCTGCAGGGGCACCAGCAAGGCCCCTCCCACTCCTGCTGGGCACTCCCACCCCCCCATCTCCCTAGGGTGTTGGTGAAGCCTCTCTGCCTGTCCACAGTGGGGGCAGTGACTCGGCCCTCAGTAGAGGGGTCTCACATCGCGCCCATTTTACAGAGAGGGGTTGCGGCCACGTGAGGAGCATAACTGACCCAGGAGCGCAGGTTTCTCCCACTGTGCCGAGGGGAGTGAGGGGCGGGCCTGAACTCTGCCCTGAGTTATGGGTGAGATTGCAGGACTTGATGCCAACAGCCCCTTTCTGTGCCCCCCAGAAAATGCCCTGAAGGATTCATATGCTGTGGCAACCACTGCTGCAAAGAGCAGGACATCTTCTCTGGCCCCCTGAGGTGAGTCTGGGCAGCTTCTCCAGCTCAGTCCCCTGGGGCAGCTGCACTTCCTGCCAAGGGGGTCGGATGTGGGCCAGGGCAGGAGTGCTGTGGGCATGGCATGGAGACTCAGCGGGTGTTGGTGCCTCCTCACTGCAGGGTCTTCATCATCACCTTCCTGGTTACCTTCCTCCCCTTCATGTGCATCTGTGGCTTGGTGAAGCGCTACTGTCGCAACTGCAGAAAGCCAGAGCTGGACATCCCAATGGATCATGTGGGACCCCCAGAAAGGCCCTCCATGGCCCCCCCAGAGAGGGTGGGGGTATCCATTCCTGAGCCCCCGCCCCCCTACAATGAGGTGGGTGTCTGCCCCATCCCTGTGCTGCTCCGTGGCCGACTGTGCCTCCCTGTTGTCCTGAGCTAAGGGACAGTGGGAGGTCTCCTCACACCAGCCTCTGGCCCCGAGGGAGGCAGCCTGGGTCACCTTCTCCCTGGTCAGCGTGTCACAGTCAGCTCTGGGTGGCCATGGCCAGCACCAGGCCCTAAGGAGTCTGTGTCCCCTCCTTTCCCTGCAGGTTATTCTGAAGCCTGTCCTGCTCCCCACAGAGCCACCCCCTCCCTACAGCTTCAGGCCCGAAGAACATGCTGGAGCCCACAGGGGCATCGACAACCCAGCCTTCTGAGCCACCTCCTGTCTGGAACCCACCGCCAGGTCCTCCTGGATCCAGCCAGAGACTCCTGGGCCCCTGGATTGCCTGCGTCTTCCTGCTACCCCCGTCCATCCCTGGATTGAACTTACTGCCTTCCCTGCCCCAGCGACTTCTCTTGTCCTGAGGGCTGGAGCAACAGTGTCAGCTGCGAGGCTGCTGGGAGGAAAACCCCAGCAGTGGGAGGTGCCTGACCGTGGAACTCGGAGTGGACAGAGCCCGTCTCTGGACTGGACGCCAGCTCTGTGCCATTGTGGGGGCACTTCTGTGCTGGGAGGATCGCATTGGATGAGCCCCGAGCACCTTCCACTTCTGCCTGTATAGGGGAGACCTCTGTCCCCCATGGGGTGTCACTGTCCTCCCAGGACCATGTACTCATTAAATTCCAGCTGGTTTTTGCTGAGAGTCAGCTTCTGGCTGCCTGGGGCGTGAGCAGGGAGGTGAACCCAGACACTGTGGGGGACTTAGGGAGGGCTCACTGTGCCCCAAGTCCCACCCCTGATGCATCTTCCAGGGTGTGCTGACTGCCTGTCCGGGAGGACAGGACACCCACAGCCACCTCCGGAAGTTGCTGCCTGCAGATGCTTTGCCCTGGCGCTGAGGTCTCTGGGCGCTGCAGAGACTGGATAGGGCGGTGGGCTGGCTGTTGGCTCCCCACCCTGCTCCCTCTGCCTTCCCCAGAGCAGAGTTCAGCTCCCTGCTCTGTCACCCTGGGGGTGGCAGGGGGCACAAGGGAGGAGAGTGGGGAGGCCAGTCCTCTGTGGGGCCGTGTTGGAGACCTTGATCAGCGGCACCCCGGAATCTCCTGGAGGGAGCAGCAGAGTGCCAGATCCACCCTTCTCTTCCCACCCTCTGTCCTGCCTGGAGGTTAACCCCTAAGGGAAAGAAGCATGGGAAGGAAGCCTGTGGGGGCCAGATCATACACTGGGAGACTGGCAGGGGCATGCAGAGAGACCCTCTTGCAGTGTCCAAGGCCTCAGGCAGGGCTTTTTGTGCCCACATAGGGTGCTCCAGAGCTGTGGCCTGAGGGAGGTTCAGCAGGGCTGCAAGTGCAGAGACAACAGAAATGTTCAGGCAGAGACGCTCCCAATCCCAAGCACCTGCCCCGCTGGGAGTGACAGGGGAGGGGAGGAAAATGCAGGCACAGAAATGCCACTGACTGTGTTCGTCTTCAGGGAGTGTCTGGAAGTCACTGGCCTTTTCCAGGGCAGTGGACAAGTCATTCCTTGTATTGTCTGTGGTGTAAGCACTGCAAGAAGTGCGTGTGTGCTGTGTGGCCCTGGGGCGGGGGTGAGGGAAGTGAAATACTAATGGAAAAATGATAGACACCATGTACCCCAGGCCCTGACACAGTCAGTGTTGTCAAGAAACACACACCACAGACACAGAAGCCAGCAGAGGACACCACACACTGGCTGTGTGAGCCTCACTCACAACCATGCCCGCAAGGCTCCATGGCCGTGCAGGGCCCAGACGACAGCAGCCAGCAACAGAACACCCAGAGAAGCCTTGCTTCAGCCACACCCACCACTTTCTCAGCTTCCCACCCCTCCACTGCACCCCAGATACTTGTAAACAAAGGCGACAGCTTCTCTGGGGGTGGCTCCCACAGGCTCCTGGCCATTTCAGAAGGTTGGGCCTTTTCCAGCAAACAGAGGTGCAGCCAAGGAGACCTACACCCTGCGCTTGTCAAGCTGTTCTGCATGCTCGGCCCAAAGTGCTCAGTGGTGATCAGGTTATAAAGAAAAGTGAATTAAACGCACAGGAAACAAGAGAAAAGCCCACTGCTACAGGACAAGCCCAGGGCTGGGCAGCTCCCCTCTTTGGCTCATCAGGGCCTTAGAAAGCCCGTAGGTCTCTGGACACTATAACCCCAGAGAGCCCAAAGCCTAGCTTCCTGAATTTCTAATGTGAACAGAGACTGGATGGGGAAAGGACCAGCGATAATGACTCACAGAGAAATATAAAGCCCAGGACTAGGATCTTCCTACCTTTAAACACCCATTCACTTACCCAGGCTCTCACTCCCTCTGCGCAGGAACTGCACTTTAGCTTTACCAAAATTATTTGCAAATCTTTGTCCTTCACCTTACTTCCCTTCCTCTTCCTCCAAGGAGACAGTGCTACCCCCCAGGCAGTTGCTCAAGCAGAAACCAGGGAGTCACTGCAGATCCCTGCCCTTTGCTTACCTCACGGACCCAGCTCACCAGCAAACTCTGGAGTCAGCCTCCAGAACAGCTCTCAGATGCATCCATTTTCCTCCCAAGTTCACGGTCACTGCTAACCTGCTGGCTAAATCTCTCCTCAGGGCTATCACAGCTTCCCCTCGGGTTTCCTCATTTTCACGCCTGCCCTCTTTCAATTCACATAAGACCAACAGTCACTTTCTCAGAATGTGAAATTGGGTGAAGTCACTCCTTGCTGTCTCCTCCTGGGCGGGAGAGGCCTCCTGTCAGCCCTTGGGTCTCAACTTCCACGTGGCCTCCTCAGAGGCCTCTCCTAACCACCCAACATTAAAAAAGACACATCACATTTTTTCACTATTATGTATGTGCTTATTTATGGCCTTATGACTAGAAAGAACCACCCAAAGTGTCAACTTTTGCTCAAATGGGCCACCTCTCTTTGGACACCCCCCCGACTCTCCCATATATGTAAACTGTGCCTCAACAGGCTCTAACATCCACCCATGTTACCTCTGGCCTCCCTCCCTGCCCCTCCCCCTTTAGGGAGCCTTCTCATCCTCCCTTGGACACCCCTTCCAGAGCCTGGCCAAGATCCTGGGTGGACCCTGCAGGGATCAATCCCCCTTGCTGAGCTGGCCCCACTTGGCCTCCTTCCTCTCTGCGTGGGCTGCACCCCCCACGCCAGTCTGCCTCTGCCTGGGATGGCCTCCTCTCAGCTTGAGCCCCAGACCATGTGCTGGGCCCCTGCATTTCTCCACCAACCCCACCCTCTCCCATAGGATGCCTACCTGGCTTGGCCCCTCTAGAAGCTTCTGGACTGAATTGTTCTTGAAGGGAAGGGGAGAGAAGTGGGGAAAAGGGAGGGGATGGGAGAAAAGGGAGAAGAAGAGGATGAGAGCCTTCTGGCCTTTTTTTAAAGATTTATTTATTTATTTATACAAGAACTGGGGTACAGGCCAGATGCACGGGAGGGTGAGTGGATCCACCAGAGACAGAGCGCGGAACAGAACAGGCAGGCTGACAAAATACACCGCTGAGGGGAGCAGCAGGAGAGAGAGGAGAGGTCTGTTGTGCCATGTGGGACCCTCCCTGGCAGGCTGGGATCAAACCTGCGCTGCAGAGGCTGTGGACAACTTCACAGTATGGTATGGCACTCAGCCACCTGCACCACCAGGGGAGGTCCCTGGCATTTGTTTTGAAAGGAAGACCAGGTAGGTGACAGGTTGAAGAGGCCCTGGCTGATGTTGCTTCTTCCACAGAGATCATTTCCTCCTGGCAGCCAGCCAGATAAATCATTTTGCTTGTGAGACCAGTCTCTGTCCTGTTACCCTTACTCCTGGGTGTGGTGTTTCCCCCTGTAAGCCTGAGGTCACAGGAGACAGCTGAGGAGTGGGTGAAGCAGAGACGGCTGGTAGAAGTGCACTTCCTGAGACACCAGGTGGCAAGGAGGCCCCTCAAGTGGGGGGTGTGGGCAGCACCAGGAGAACAGGGGCAGGCAGGGTGCTGGAGGGGGCCCTGAGTCTGGGGGGGGCAGTCCGGGACTGGCGGGGGTGACACCTTACAGATGAGGAGAGGAAACACACACACACACACACACACACACACACACACTGCTGCCAGGGTGCAGGACTGTGGCTGTGGAAGCACCTGTGTGAGGCTAGAGATGAAATCACTGAAGAGAGGGAGGGGAGTGGAGAAGGAATGGGAGCCAGTGGGGAGCTGGGGCTCAGTCAGGGGAGGGGAGGGGTTACTGGGGAGGAGCTCAGTGAGGGGAGGTGCCCTGGTGGGGAGGGAGCTCGCTGAGAGGGAGGGTCTTACTAAATGGGAGAGGCCCCCCTCTAAGTCTAGACAGGACACCTGGGAGCTGGCACTGTCCTCCCTCTGACACTGGGCCCCGCCCAGAGCCTTGGGGTGGGGAAGTGAGGAGGGGGCCTCTGAGCACCTTCTTTTCCAGGACCCGGGTGGGGAGCAACAGAGCCGTGAGCCCCATACTTTATGCCTATGGTGGGCATGGGGAAGCTGGGGTCCCTCCAGAGCCCTCCCTAGCTGGGCCTTCCCTTTCCCCCCAGGGGCCCAGCTCTCTCTGCCCTTCCTCTCTCCACGGTGCAGACAAGGGCGCAGGAGCCCCAGGCTGGGTTTGCTTCTCATTGTGCTCTTGGCTCTTCTGGTGGAAAAACCGAAGCACACCCCTTGGTACAGCTGAGGGGAGAGGGTGAGCGTGGCTGGGAGGCTGTCCTGCCAGGGAGGCCAAGGGGCAGGCGGGGCTGGGCCTGGAGAGAGGCCCCTTCCCAGCCTTCTGCTTCTACGTGGCTGTGGCTTCTGGGCCCAGGGTGGACGTCCTGGGAGCCTGAGGTGGAGGGGCTGGGCTGGAAGGAGGCGAACAGTGGGTTTGGGTTAGCCTCAGGCCGCCAGCACCCTCTCTCCAGGTTGTCCCCAGAACAGTCTGCAGAGGGTGGGGCGTCTAAAGTTCCTTGGGGTCTTAGCAGGAGCCGCGGGAAAGCCGCAGCAGGTGGTCGGAGTCAGGCAGGAGCCCCTGTCCCCACACAGGGCTATTTCCTAGGGGGAGGCAAGCCCCGTGCTTGGGTTCCGCAGCACCCCAGGACAGTGCCCTGTGTCCTCCATGTCACCTCCAGGAGGTAAGCTCTGCACTGGCCGCCCATCTGTCAGGTGAGGGCCTGGGCTCCAGGGACCAGCACCCACTCAGCGCTGCAGTCTCCAAGTGGCAGGGCCAGGATTTGAACCCCGAGGTCTGGCTCTCTCCCCAACACCAGAATCACCCGATAGCCTCCCTCCAGGGTCTGGAGCCCACACAGCA